TGGCGTATATTGACATCTTCCCCCCCGCCATGCTTTAAATTAATTAAAATGCAAGCTAGAATATTTTTCTTCCTTTATAAATAAAGCATAGAAATTATTTCTGATACCCAGTAATAATGAAGATTGTAGTTGACCTGCATAGGAGAAGATCTGTTTCAATAGTGGGGAGGGTGAATAAGGTGCTAAGATTTGAGTGGTATTGACTGAACCTGTTTCTTGTACAGCCTTTGGGGGCATAGATCACTTTCTCTGTGCTTCCTTCCTCTGTGTGGGGGTTAATAGCTCTGCAAAATAGAAAAAGTACCAAAATCAAATAAAAATATTGAGGCATTCAGGAATTTGGACCATCCAAGTATTTCAGGTAGTCCTGACTACCAGTGCCAGTACGTTTCGGGAAGGATCAAAATACTACTTTTTTCCTAAGAAGTTCAAAGTATTTCTTCCTGTTTACAAAGAAAAGGGCCTGAGGATCATCTTATCCTATTACTTCTTGTATCCTGGATAGTATGGCAAGACTTTGGAACATATGTCATTCAAATTCCCAAGATTGTTGCATGCATTTCTTTGACTTGATTAAGATGAACTGACTATGAATTGTGCCAGTTGTACAAATAGTGTCTGTCATTCTGGGAAGCCTGCCTTCACTCCGTCTTCCAAAAAGTACCACCATTTTGTTTAACTTTTTGTGGCTGTTAGGCTGTAATAAAGTCTTTCTTCTCTAGAGTATGTCAGAGTTAAATGCTCTTTAAGTAAACTTTGATGTCCAGGCTACTTCAGATATTAAGATGCACATAGCCTGTGATGTGCTATAATGGGGTTGAGCACATTTTTTTTAGAACTTCTTGCCATGTGTTAGGCCTGTCACAATATTTTTCCTTCTAGATATTTAATGCTAGTTCTCTTTTGGCCTCTTGTTCACTTTGGTTTCAGCTCTGATTTCTGTATTGGGACTGAGTTAAAATTGAGATACCTTTTGTGGTATTTTCTGTCTTCCAGCATCAAGATTTCTGTAGCGAAGTTTTTTAAAGGTATGGGGAGACCTCAGCTAGATTTCTATTCCCTTTTACAAACAGAGGCATAAAATGGAACATGAGTTGTCTTCATGCTTCCATGAAGTGCTTTTCCAAAATTAAAAAGTGACAAGAATCCTTGATGGTTTAAAACTTCTGCTGTTTCAAATTGTTTAAGAACTTTAGTTTGAAAAGGATTTTACTTCACAGCAGGTTTTAGTGATTTCTTTAGTACTGTGTACTGTTTTGGAAAGAAGGATAAGCAGTACTGTACTCTGCCACCTGCATCTGTATATCTTTCACACTGACAGTATGTTTCTAACCTTGAACGTGTAAATTGTGCTTCTGAATACTCAAAGTTATTTATTAACTTCACGTGCAGGACGTGCTATGGTAGTTTTAAAGTATTTTGTGTGACATAATTACTCATGTTCTTTCTCTGTGATCTGTAGTGTGTTTCTTCTGCACAGACCTGAAAGTGGTATCTTTTGTAACAGATCGCCAAAGTGCTTACATCCAAAGCTTTGCATGTACGATTAACAATACTTAGAGCTTAAATGTATTTTTATCAGGGGTTTGTAAGTGAAAAGACAGGGTTTATCACAGTTCTCATTAATTTGGAATGTAAGTTGCATTAACAGCTCGCTTGTGGAATTTCAAGGGCAAGCAAGAGATGGCATGTGACCTTTCGTGGGGAAAGATTTATATAAGAAGGGAGTTTAAGGGACTAGGGTTCAGGAACCAGTGAATTATGCCAGAATTTTAATGTGTTGCATGTTTGTATTGTTTAAAGAAAAAGAGGGGAGGAAAAGGGGAAGGAGAAAGAGGGCAGACCAGAAGAGGCTAGCAGAAAGGTTGCTTTTTCCTTAATACCTTAAGGTATAGACTGCTCATTCAGCTTTCTGACAGGCTGAATTTCAGTTTTGGTCTTGGACAAATTCACTGTATGCATGTATTGTACAGGGACAAGAATGTATTGGATGATGATTATTATTATTATTATTACCTGGCATCCTTCATGAAAATGAAATTGCGATTCATTACTGTAGGTGTAAAATTACAACTTTCAAAATTGCTGCACTATCTTCACAATTTTTGTACCCCGCTTTATATGGCATATAACAGGTGACATTACTACAAAATGTAAGAAATTGCAAAATACTTCAGTTAAAGTATAGGAATAGTTTTGCTTTTGTAGGAATAACTTTACGAAGGTAACAGTATGGGTGTTTAATAATAGTAATGACAGAAGTTTTGTTGGAAATACTTATTTTGAATGCTTGCTATTGCCAGGCATGTTTTGCATATATAATTAATAATGAAAGCAATTACTTTTTTACATGGAACACATTGTTAATATGCAGTCCGTGATCTTCCATGCTGTGCTCATGCACATGTGTACTGTATTAAGTAATTTGTTGCCCGAGTGATGTGTATAGTGTGTCTGAGTTTCAAACACCTCTAGAAACCTCTGTGTAATTGATTTGAATTCAGTGAGCAGTGCTAGCTATGGGGTTTCCACCAGGTTTTTGGGCCACTTGCACCTTATTTGAAAGGATACCAAATGACAGAAATCTTTGATACAAAGATCCTTCTTGCTGGCTGTGGCTATCTGAATCCATGAACACTGGAATAACCTATTTTTCTAATTTAAAAGCAAGGTGTGTCAATGCATGCCAGTTCTGCCTGTCACTCTCAATAAAGGGAGTGGAGTGGAGAGCAAAACCTCTGGGATCTTTGTAGATCAGGTTACTACTGATGGCCACTGGCTGTTCAGTGTGTGTGTTTTTTTCAATGTGGTGTCACATTTGGTTAAATAGCTTTAGTTAATAGGAATTTCACTTGGATATTGAGGGAATGTCCTCTTAGTGTTGAGAATTAATAAAAAGGGGCTTGAAAGAAGGCTTTGGAAAGGATAGATGCAGAGTGGAAGGAACGTGGTTGGGACCTAAAACTTACTAATGGGAAAATCTTAATCACCTTATTTTATTATTTTATATTAGAAAAAATGGGCAAAGATTGTTACTTGTCCAGTGAAAGCAGCAGAGACCAGAGTGGGGTAGAGGTTACTGAGGTGCTCCCCTCTCTAGTTTAACCAAGTGAGCTGTACAGTATAATGGCATAGGAAATGGCAGTCTGTCCCCACACCGGTGTATGCACTCCTGAAGCCCATCTGATGAAGTGAGCCTCAGTCCATGTAGCCTCAGAGTAACTGTACCTGTTATACAAAATACGGGAGACCCCTGGGTATATTTAAATGCATACCAAAGACATAGGCATTACTGGAAGGGCAAAATCATACATGTAATTGTTCCATCTCCCCACCCCCCATCCCATTCAGATTTTCTGTTTTGTTCTTTAAATAGAGGTCTTCAAATTTTGTTAAATATTTGTAATATATTCCTTTTACATAAAATAGATTTTTGCATTATTGATTAAACATTTTCAAATACTTCATCAGAAGCATTAAAAAAACTCCAACAACCTCTGTGTTTGAAAAATTATTAAAAAATAAAGATGTGAATGAAACCTGATTTAGCAATGAGTTAACATTTGGTACGTGGCCTTGATATTTTTTTGGAAAGTTGTCAATAGTTATCAGTAGCATATATTGAAACAAATTGCAGCTATTGTTGAAATCCCATCATCTGACTTTTTTTTTTCCTGTTTCTGCCTCTTGTCCTAAAGCATTTGAGAATGTAAAATCACTTAGGTGTTGAGTTGCAGCCACCTCTCAAACAATAAACTGCTTTGCTGAAAGATAAATGACTTAATAAAAGTCAGCTGAAGGCAGGTAGCATCGACACTCCCTTACCCCAAACGATGGGATTTAGGAACTTACTACAATTTCACTGTTGTTTAACTAGTTGGATTGAAAAATGTCAACAGAGAATCAACAGTAATTGCACTATAAAGTATTGGAAAAATGTGATGAGCATACTGCACTCAATTGCTTTTATTATTAAATGGGACTAGAGCTAGTGAGTCTTGTCTTGCACATGTTTTAATCTTGTGTAGCAGCATTAAGTGAACTACTTCATATTTGCGTTCATGTAAAGGAGTAAAATAAATTTTTCAAATTTATCAAATTACAATGAATTCTGCTTTGTAATTGCAAACATATGAAACTCCAAGATTTTGAAGAATTGCCCTGATTTGGAAGGAGTGCAGATTCATTAAAAAACCCAAAATCCTCCTGTCCCTGCTCCAAACCAAACCAAATTCTGGTGGGATGGAAAGAGGGTTTCCCATCTATCTGTATTGTATACAATTTAAGAAACCATGTGAAATAGTTAGATTTTATGCATTGTAAGGTTAAATTTTATGCATTTGTGGATCTCTATTACAGAACTTTTCTGTCAAAGCATTAACAGTGCTCTTTTTATTCATGTCTTATGGATGTGAATACTTATTTTTCTTATTTTTTCTGATGCTTATATCATGGATACAAAACTATTCACTATTCCGTTTTTTCCCTTTACAATGTTGCATTTCTATGATGTATCCTTCATGCATCTTTCCATAAATTCTTTTTTCCAACTTGGATTTTTCTTTACGTTTAAGTAGATGATTTTCTGAAGATTCATCTTAACTGCTGTGGGCCTTAACTTTGACTGTTAAATAACTGGAATTTTTCTGAGACTTCTGTGAGCCTTTCTGAGCCTTTCCTTTTCTAATGTTTTTGAAAACTTGGATACCAAATCAGTTGCACTTAAACTAGAGGTAGATAGGAATTGTTTCTTTTTTCAAGAGTGTTTTCCCAACAGTGGCCTCTAAGATGAAAAAGTCAGGAATAACTGTACTGAGCATAAATTGCCAAGTTTTGGGAGCAGGGGGCGAGTTGTATGAGAGGAGGTCAGAAACTACCTGACCCGTCATCAGTCACAGCTGCTTCCAGCCAGCTTTGAAACTGGTGTAAACACCCCAGTGTGTGCCAAAACCTCAGCCAGCTAGAGAAGCTGGTGGAACCGCTGTTCGCATTTATTTAAGATTGAGCAACAGTCGCGAGAGGCAGGAGATACGGAAGGCGACATTGCTGGGGACACAGCTAGACACACTGCTGGAAGGAGGCACTCCATGCCAGAGGAAGCACACCACCCCGCGGATGCTGACCACCAGCAACCCGTGCCAGGTTAGGGACACTCCTGGAGGGACTGTAGCCAGTAGATCTGTGCTGGAGCAGAAGAAAATTAAAAAGAGTCAAGGAACAGCAGGATAAAACTGCTATGTTCATGACCTAAACCTCCTGCACTGCCCATTGCCTCACCACATGAATTGGAATGGATGGATGGATCAACAGGGAAAACTGAGACTATGGAATGGGAAGCAGAAGTGCTGGGCTGAAGTCGAGCCTGAGAAGGGAGAGGAAAGATGTGTCCCCAAATGTTTGTTTAATTGTTTATTGTTGTCTTTGTACTTCAATGTACCTTGGCCAAAACTTTATGTTAATTACCAATAAATTAAATTGAAGTACCAATTCCCTGAGTCAAGACCAGTTTTCCTGTGACAATAACCAGTAGTCTATGAAGCAGGCAATTAATAAACAAACCTTTGTCTAGCCCATATATATTCTATGCAGAATCTGCTAATTATCTTTGAGGACATTTTAAGCTGATTAGAGCAGGTGACGTTTCAGACCTCATGAATCAATAGCTAAATCTAGTAGGTAAAGCTAAGGATGAATTTCTGAATCCATTGAGTGTCTAGAGGGATTTAACACATATTATTATCATACTGATGGTAATCTAATCTTAGCTACAAGGAGAATATAATTCAATATGATGGTGTGCTCTATTAGATCTTAAAGTCACCTTGTAAAAATATTGGGAATGTTCTGAACCAGGCTCCAAGTGGCTAGAGCTTATTGCTACTTCTCATTTTTTCTCTCGAAAGCCTTACTTCCCACTGCAGTAAGAGCAACCCAAACCAATGCATATTTGCATTTGTACATCTTTGTCTTATTTTTACATCTAGTAACTTACTAAGATATGTTATGCAATCAGATTCAAAACTATGGCTTCAATTAGACCACAGGAAAGCATCCAGTTGATTGCAATTTTGAAAGCATCTTCTACCTTCCTTCAGTACTCCAAGGGAAAAATTCGAAGCATGTTAGGAGTGTTGTACAGAAACTCTGCTTGCATTTTGTAGTAGAGAGGAGCAAAACAATTTGAAGGTAGAAAGATTTAAGGGTCCATGCTAAAAATCTAGTTGAAGGATTCACCTTGGCTTTACTTGAGACTTTAAGCAAAGAATAATGCGTGTGCAGAAAAGTGCAGAATGTTTTTTTTCTAAATAGTACTTGGAAAGTTTTATTCTATATATAATGATTTCAAGGTATCTTCTCAGCATGTGAAACTGTAATTATTAGTTGTTTTGGAATGATCTGATGATCAAATGCTTTGATCCCAGAGATGAACTGAAGTGCAAGTTCAGGTGGCATAAGAAGTTCAGTCTGGCTTTTAGAGAATGTTCAGAGGAGTATTTCTTTCAGATAAATTCCTACTGAGGTTTATAATCCTTCCTGAAAGCAAAATGGAGTCACATGCAGTAAGGTAGCCAGCATTAGTGGCCTTCTAAGGAAAGTATCTAAAAAGACTGAGAACGTTTTGACATAAAGGAGTGAATATTACAAATTTTAGGAAAAAAAAAAAAAAGTACATCTCTTAATTCTGAATTAAAAGAAGTTCCTATGCTGTAATGTAGGGAGTTCGTGTTTGTATGTGCATTCCTGTACAATTCAGGATGACAGGATGCTACAGTTGAATATTTGTGGTGTTTCTGAAGGACTTCCTATCTATAGCACGGTGGCTTTAAAAACAGGAGGGGGTTAAAAAAAAAAAAAGACAGCTGCATCAGAGAAGTTATCAGAAATGAGCGTTTTTTCTCTATACCTTTCTGTGTGGAAAATCACTGGTGACTTGTTCAAGGAAACCACCTAGAAATACTGGCAAGGAACTAGACTGTCCTGGATAAATCATGTGTATTTTTAATCTGTAGCCTTCTTTTTGAAGACCACTTGTTGGCAAATGTTTGATTTATTTTTTAAATTCCATATTTAATTAATTAAATAATCCTTTATATTAGTTTTTAATTTACCACTGTTTGTAGAAAGAGACTAGAATTTCCAGTAATCATCTGTCACTTTGAAAACATGTATGATGAGCATAGGCTGGATGCAGTTTGCAGCTTCATTTCATGTAGTGACTCCTTGTGTTACTACTGGAGAATACGAAGATTGTATTTATTATGCAACTTGCAAGACACATTTGAGGAGCTTGTTCTGCCTCTTGTGGTGAAACACTACCTAATATTGGGTATATTCTGAAAATATTCTCAAATTTATGGTGATTTAAATTCCACCAGTTTACCTTTAAGTAACTGAATTTTGTCTTTCAGCAGGCCCAACAGAAGGTTTGGGAAAAATAATACAAAGATTTCCTCAGAAGGACTGGGAAGACACTCCTTTTCCACAAGGAATTGAGTTGGTAAGTTTGTATTACGTTTTGTAATTTTTCGAATTTCTTTCACATACAATTGGAAGATACATCTGCCTTCATGCAATAATCTGTATTATCTAACCTGACTGGGAATGGGTAGAAGTTATGTGAGTAGAGGGGATAGATAACAGCTCTAAGAGTAACAATTTTGGCTAACAGAAGGTAATTTGTTCTGGGCTGTACCACTAAGTCCTAGAATACAGGAAAAGTCTGCTGCAAATTTAGAAAGTGTCTTTAAATATTTATTTGTGTCAGTAAGTTTATGGTTGACTACATTTTTAGAAGCATCCTTCAGATGGCAGATGACTTTTCGTTGTCACATTCAAATAAATACAAATGTGTTTTTGTATACTGTAGACTGAAAAAAAGAATTAAAAATGATATCCCAATAAACTGGCTTGATTAAAATGGTCAGTCTTTACCCGGTATTCTGTCCTTGACAGATGGCATAATTGGTGCTTACGAAAATGGTACACTGAACAAGGCTAGTGTCCAGCGATCTATTTTAAACACCCTTTCTGAGAATTCACTAAGTACCGCTTCTTTCTTTTCCTTGGTCTTAAGAGATGCATAAGACGCATCGAAAAGGTGTGAGATGCAACGTTGTGAGATGCAACGAAAAGGTGTATCGTCCTTATCTGGGTCAAGGATTCATTCAATATCTGGCTCTAAAAATCCTACAGTGAAATTAAATACTGTCGTCATTCTCTGCAAATTCGGTTTCTGAGAAGTCAGAGTGAAACTCCTACTGCTGTGAACTTAGGAGCTTCTGAGGCAGGGTGAGCTAGAGGAGGAGATGGCCTGTAGGAAATGTTGCAATAGAAGTCTTTGTACTGTGGGACAAAATCAGCTGCAGAGAACAAAGACACTGACCACTGAATTTATTACACTGGTATAGCAAACATAGCCAGCGTTTACCAGCATGGTACCTTTCAACCAGTGTGCAGCTCACTTGCTGAGTCATAACATGCCGTTGGCCCGGTGTTGTCCTCTCCAGTGAAAGAGGGAGGGGATCTTGGCGTTTACTGCTTGCTCTCTGGTGTAGCAGAGGTTCATGTTACTCACTGTGTGCTAGTGTACGCGACTGGCTGCTCGTTTTCTTCAACAGTGTGGTTTCCATTTCTTCATAGTCAAGCATAAGCCTTATGTTTTGGGGGGAAGTCATACATTAATTACTGGTGTAAGCATTATTGCTGATACATGTGATGGATGGTTACAGTGTTTGTGGTACGGTTGCATAACACTACATTTGGCAACGTAGTGCTGTGCTGGAACAATGGAAGCTCCTGCTTTCTCTGAAGTGTTTCTACAAGTGTTACAACATTATACCACTCTGCATAGCAATTGCTGTTCGCTCTAGCTGGTGATTCTCTACTTAATACATGCCTAGCCAGCATGTGCTCGATGACTGCTGACCGAGTTCAGATAAGTGGCTTTTTTATATAGTGCACACAGTTGCAGTTCAATAGAATAACTTTTGGTGCCAAGGCTTAGGGGTGTTTTCTTTTTTCAGCCACTCTCTTGGGGTTGAACTAGATGGTTTGAGCTTGCCTTAAACAACTGCAAGAGTTTCAGTCATACTAAGATTTATTTTGTCATACAAATCTTCCATACCTATTTCAAAGAAAGTAATATGTCTGACTTCCAGTGATGTTTTGAAATAAATGAACACAGCTTCTTCTAAAGCAGTAGAGGTTCTTAAGTGATATATCTGTACCCAGATGTTATTTCCCAATTAAGTTTAATTGTAGGATGTTCATACTACTTTCTAAAGGAAGATTTTTTTTTCGTGATTGAACAAAACATAATTTTTCTTCAGTTGTCAAATGACTCATTAGGTAAAGCCATTAAGACTTTAAACTTTCCAAGTAAAATGAAATATGACTTAAAAGTTAAAGACATCTATTCAGCCAGTCGGCAAAATTAGTCAAATTTTGATTTGCTTTCCAAAAGTGGTAATAAAGTTTTAATTAATTAAGATTGAGGAGTTAGAGATATTGCAAAGATCAAGTACTAAAGTAAATCACTTATGAAAGTCAAATTTTGCCAGGATGATTTTTTTTCAAGGTTTTGGATGAGTGTAACATGAATCAACATTAATTCATGTAAGAAGAAAAGCAATGTTACCATTTTCTGTTTGTCACCTTAAGGGCAGCTTTAATATCATTAAGAGGGTAGCAGGCAAACCTTCAGGGGAAATTAAAAAAAGGAGAAAGAAGGTAAGAATAGAATAGTTGACATAAATATACATAAGAATGAAGGTAGACATTTTTATGAATAGCCCTTAGTTCTATGAGTAATTTGAGTTAAAATCCTCTTAAGTGCACTTCCTCTCCTTTGAATGAAGGATCTTTATAGAATTATATGGTTTCTCTGAAATGGAAAAAAAGCAATGGTTTGTATCTGAAAAACATGTTAAGCTCTCTTCAGTGTGTTTTCATGACGAAAAAAAAAAGCCAAAGCATTTCATGCCTAGTGGTAGGATTGAAGGGAGATCAGATTTTTGAGTCTTGGCTTCTGTCAAAGTTAGTTCTTCTGCCATGAATCATGGAGATCTTCAACTGATTATTGGTGAAGATTTTGCCTCTCCCCGCCCTCCCGCTCTCTTGTAAAGCGAATGATTTGCCTGTGAATTGGGAAATTTGGATTTTTTTTTTAAGTTTTTTTTTTTACAAATAATATAGGTCAAATCAGATAATCTGTCTTGGCAACTAATGCGTGGTATGATCTAATTGTTTCCTATTCACGTTGTTAGTGGCATTTTATGAAGCAAGGTGCAGGCAGGGAAATAGTGGAAAAGACCTATGCCCACCCCCAAGGTTTAATACTTTAAGATGGAAAATACCTGTTTGGACCCCTTGTGATCTTCATCGCTTGTAGAAATTGTATTAGTCCAAGCTCCAGCCAAAAGCTAGTAGTCAAAATCCTCTGAAATTTTTGTGGAGGGCAAAAATTTGTGAAATTTTTGTGTGGTCGGATTTCTGAGTTATAAGCTAAGGCAATGTAGAGAGCAGAGTTGTGCAGGTAATTTTTAAATTAAATAATGAAAACACTGCAAAAAATATTTTCCGTTTTGTTGAGCCCAGTTTTGAAAGGTGGGCTAACATGGGAAAAACTGTGCTTAATGGACCGGCCCTTGGCTGAGTGAAAAGGGATGATTTTGAGAATATCTTATATAGGAAAAATGATGACCTGATTTCAACTCTTACTTTTAGCCTTGGCTGTATTTGTAGTTTTGTTAATGTGACACAAATATGTAGAGAATTGGATTATTACAAAATGTAATTGCAGTTTGAACTTCAATGAAGTGTTGTATTTGGTGTATATATATTCTATATTAAAGGATTACGAGTTACATAAAATGTTTCTATTTTTATGTATGTAGCATGTTAGTTATGTTCTGGTCTTGTTTAACAAACACGTAAGTTATGGAATAAACACATTGTCCAAAATTCAACAACAATAGAAATTAAAAAAAAATCCAAATCCAAAAAAACCCAGAAAATGAAATTTTATTGAAGTGTTTTAATTTGTCTTGTTAAATAAATTGTGTGTCTTGTGGTTGTCAGTGGTAAGTGAGCAAAGCCATGAGTCTCTATTGAGGGAAAGATACTGTCAGTAGGTCTCGGTCAGTGTATCTTCTTAGACCTTCTACTTGTCTGCATCTCATCAAATTAACAAAAGAGATTTTTCTTATACTCTTTGCATTTGCCATTTCTCTAATGGCTTTACAGATTTTTAACTTTGTTCTGTTTATAACTGAACACAGAAACTTTGGCAATTGAGCCATCTGCAAATTGCTGTGAAACATACCTGAAGATTTTTGTAATGGATTATTGATCATTAGAGTAGCTAGTAAGTGCCCTAATATTTTTTTTAACATCCGTTGAATTGTGATATAATTGAGAATAAGGTATGATTGTTAATATTATATATCATACATATTGACTGTTACTTCAAAAGCAGTAAGATGCTCTTTGATTTGCTAGAACCTTTTGTGGGCTATTCAAGAGGAATACAGGAAACATTTTTCTATAATTCCAGCTTGGAATCTGAGGATCTTCAGCTTACTGACAAGTAGCAGTCCATCTGCAGTTTACGGACAAATGCAAGTCAAAATCAGTTTCCTTGTTTCATGAAAGTAAGCTGAATTTCAGGAATAAAGAGAGATTTATACTCATTCTTCAAGTTAATAAAGTATTTGGCTCAGAAAAGCATTTAGGTCTTCGATTATCAAAAGAATGCAATGAGAACATACCAATTTGATGGTTGCCCCCCATGATATTTTAAATGGACATGTTTGGGTGTCCTCCATAGTCTGGCTGTTTCAGAGAAGTTATTTTAGCTTTACATAGATACAGCTAAAGTTTAAAAATAACCCTCTAAAATCAGCAGTTTAAAATTAGGATAATCAAACTTCTTGTTCTCACTTGTAGAAGGAATCCTTGAGAGAGAGTATGTTGGTTGAATGAGTTAGCTTTATATTTCTGCATATTTTTCTTATTTATAATACAGTTTTAATTCTGCTGTGTACCTTTCTAGACGTCATAATTAGTTACACATCAAAGGAGGAAGCTTTGGTATGTAATGTTACACTGTAAACTCATTTTTGTCCCAGGGCTAAATTAGCTAAACTAAGTGTCATCTGCATTACTCAGTGTTGGGAGGCTAATATTAATTAGGCCAATGAAAGTCATACCTAGAAATAGATACGTTGTCTTAAGTTTAAAGTAGATATAATGTGTTTGTACAGTTTGTGAGTAGCAGGGAGGAAAATTTCCCACTATAACCAGTGGTGGTGGTAGTAGTAGTGTCATGAATTAGTAATTTTCATTTCAAGTATGTGCAAGTATAGAAATGAACATACATTTCTAGACAAGCTAATCATCTATCCAAATAATTACTTAAATTATAACATTTAATTGTAAATTGTAAAAACTGTTACTTAATACAATCCTTTGAAGACAGCTTACATGTGTTATGATACT